TTCTACTTCTTTTTCTTGTACATTTCAAGACATCGACTAGCCTCCCACTCCCTCTCGAAAGGGCCCCCAAAATGACCTGTGCTCTGCATCAGAGGTGCTTGTGAAAGTGCATGTTCACACTCTGGTGTCCAAAGAGGTCAAGAGAAGGTTTTGTGTGTTGTTGTTTTTTGCTTTTACCTGATTTCCACCCAAAAAGGCAAAATGAAGCAATCTGGTCCTGAAGCAGGAATTTGAATTGGCCCATTGCCCAACGGCCCTAGCTAGGAATTCTCCAGCAAAACAGAAGAATAGCCTTTTTTTCCTATCAGCTGAGCAGACATTTTGCAAAGTAGGGAAATGCACCAATGCAGAAACAACCCCTGTTGAATCTCTACCCACAGCAACACCTATTGGATCCCTCAGTCCTGCACATCGGAGGCTCGCCGGGTTCCCGAACCAGGAACAAGCTTCACACCCCACAGGGAACAAGGCCAGCCGAAGCTCTTCTGGGTGTTTTCTTTGGCTCCAGTCTTGTGTCCCAGGGAAACCTCAGGCTGCAGAAAGAGAGGAGAAGGGGGGCCTCCCCATTCCTGCCATTGGGGGCCTAAGGGTGGGGTGGCTTTTCCCTAACTTCTCATGGAGGCTCTTAAGGACACCACAGACATTGCCATGTGTGGCCTCATAGACATTTTCCCCCTTCCCAGTAAAAAAACCCAAAATGACAAAAATACTCATTTTTATATACTTTTTAAATTACGGAACAAAAAGAATCTGTGCTTGTAATTTGCCTTTAACAATGAAGAGTTGGCTTTAAATGTGGTTGTCAAACAGGTTCCTGAATTTCAAGGTAGTCGCAGAAATTCCAATTGCACAGGTAGGCAAACAGGATGAGGAAGAAATTCCCTTCTCGCCATGAATTTCCCAGGGGTCGCTAATGCTAACTCTATTTTTCTATGATTCTCCCTGCCCTGGGACAGGATAAACGACCTTCGGTGGCTTCCAGGAAATCATACATGGCTGGCTGGACGGCTCTTCTCCGGCGCTCCTTTCTTCTGCAGGCTTTCCTCACTGCCCAGCGTTCACATCCATACACAGTAACTGAGAAGACAAGCGTCCAGAGGGTTTTGGCCTTCATCTCCAGCAACACGTCCACACACTTGGGGCTCTTTTCCAGTTCCTTCACAGCTGCCCTTCTGAGTCTCTGGCTTCTTTTGATTCCTGGGTTGTAGTGTGCAATATTTATTTATCATTTATTGTTTTATAAGTCCCCTTTCTCCCTAAGGCGATTCACAACAGTGAAAATCACACAATAAAAACAATTTAAAAATTCTGTAGAAAACTATATACTGAAAAACAATTAAACATTGGTCAAGACTTAAGAACCATTTTGAAGACATTTTTAAAAAACCTTTAAAATATCTAATGATGACTGTTCTGAGAGATATGAAATATCTGAATAGTAATTACTGAAAGGAGTTAAATAAAATTGTTCAAAACATTTTTAAAACACATTTAAAAAGACAGAAGGGTAATATCCTCCTTAAAACCTTTTCCTCAGCAGCAGTTCACATATTACTAGCCCATCTGAACAGTATTACCATCTCAGTGGGGATGGAAGCCACATTCCACCCCACCAAAGAGAAAATCTTTTTCATTTTGTTTTCCTTCACTCAAAGGAGACCCTTTTCCCTTCCTCTTTCTTCTCAATGTTTCTGTGTACCCCCCAGTATTAAGCAGCATCTAACAAATTCAGAAAGCATTTTTTTCTGATGTGCCATCAAGTCATTTTTAACTCATTGTGAACTTTTTTGAAGTTGTTCAGGAAGAGAGTATTCAGAAGTAGTTTCCCCTTCCGTTCCTCTGGAGGGGTGCCCTGGGACTGTGCAGCTTGCCCAAGGCCACACAGGCTGCCTCTCCTTGCAGGAGGCACAGTGGAGAATTGAATCCCCAGCCTCTGAAGTTGGATAGCTAACTTGCTGAGCTATCCAGCCAGGCAGCAGAAGGCACTGAAGTCCATTTAAAGGACCACTTTCCCTTTTCCCCTTCTTCTCGGTTGGTTTCCTCCCTGCCGTGCAGGCCTCTCCCACATCAGAAGGTGTATAAATGTTTCCAGCCAGGGAAAGAGGTGCTCGTGAGAGTGAGGAAGTGTCTTGGGAAGAACTGCTTCTGAACTCGACTGAAATAAGGTTCCAGTGATGGAGGACTCAGTGAATGCTGCTTTACAAGGGTCCTCCCTGTTGCTGGCGCCCTGCAGAGAGAGAGAGAGAAAGTCAAAATATCAGAACTGAAAGGGGGTCCCCAGAGAATATTCTGTGTAGTAAGAGGAGTCTTCTAAAACCTCCACCTCAGGTGCTCTTCTGTGTCTGCTCTGCATAAACATCGCCAGGGAAGGAAGACCCTGAAATTTCCCAGGCTAGGACAGCTGTCAAGGCGTCAAACTTTGCATCTATGGGTCTTCCATGTAACCCCATCTTCTCTCCTGGCGCTTCCCTCTGGAGCCCGGAAGTACATTTCACTCATCACCTGGTGTGAGAAAGAGATGAAGGAAAGAGAGATACCAGAGAGTGTGCCATCCCCTTCTCCAGATATAACCAGATACGCAGAGTCAAAGGATGAGGGAAAAAATCAGAGGATAAGGAGAAAGAGAAGGTAGAGAAAGACAAAGGAACAAAGGGAACCAAAGAGGAAGCAGAGGTTTGCTTAGTAGAAGAGACAGAGGAAAGAAAAGGGGTGGAACTAGGGAAAAAGGGAAGAGAGGGGGTAAAAAAAAAGAAAAGGAGAGGAAAGATGAGTTAGAAGAATCTAAGCGGATGAAAAAACTGTTAGAGGATTTTCCTAATTTAAGAACAGGAGAATTGTTTCCAATACCGGAGAAATTTCAGATAAAGAATACAGTGGTGCCCTGCATAGCGATGATAATCTGTGCAGCCAAAATCGTTGCTATACGGATTCGTTGCTATGCGAAATTAAAAAGCCCATGGGAATGCATTGAAACCCCTTCAATGAGTTCCTATGGGCTTAAAACATACCTTTTAAGCAAAAATCCTCCATACGGCGGCCATTTCCCCGGTAAGCGAGGAATCCGTCCCTGTTTTACGCGGTGGCCATTTTGGAACCGCCAATCAGCTGGGGGAAAACATCGTTATGCAAAAAATCGGTAAGCGAAACAGCTTACCGATCATCGCAAAGCGATTTCCCCCCAATTTAAAACATCGTTATGCGATCGCAAAAACATCATCGCTATGCGGATTCGTTGTTAAACGGGGTGCCCGTTATGCGAGGCACCACTGTATACCAAAACCGGTAGAATGGACTGTAATGCGGGATCCAAAGGAATACGAGTGATGGAAGAAAATATCTAAACTGGATTCCTATTTCAATCAACCTCTTCAGGAGGTTGTTGTTGTGGGAAACAATCGTCTCTGCAAGCTGAAGGGTCAAGGGAGGTTTGGACCCGCTCCCTTTTGAATTGTGAAGAAAAGAATGTGAGACCGTTGTCTGACAGTTATGAGGAGGAGAAGAAGGTTGGACCGTTGTCCGTTAGTTATGAACCGTTAAAGAATTTCAACTTGTTAGAACCAGTGGAAGTGGTTATAAATCCATTTGAAATTGTTAACAATAAAAATGTTGATTTTTTCCCCAGAAAATAGATCTCTTATTTTTGCCTCAGAAGGGGAACTGGCTCTCTAAACGTGTCAAACGCAATCATACCTGGTCTCATGGATCTATCCCTGTGGTGACTCAAAGAAACAGAAATCATCAAAAACAAAATTATAAACAGATTTCCTACATGTAGGATTTGGGATGGTCCAGTTATAGTTTCTTCGAATGATGGGAGAGAAGTTGAGAGTCTCAAACATCAAAGGCTAGTCTTCAAAGGGGAGA